AGTAAAGATGAATTCCAGAATGTCGAAATGGTATCGATACTGAAGTAGGTATAGTACCATAGAAGGAAGTATCGACACTACAAGAGAGTACCGATACTACTCAGTCTGAATTATTAAATTTGGTTCTTCATTTCGCTTAAGTAAAGGTTAATTTGCTAGATGTTAATTGAGCTCCGATATTCATATTGATCATATTAATGTGTAGATTTGATTGAAAGCAAGTGTGAATTGACGTATAAAGATAAGGTGAAAGTGAAAGGAGTGCTTAGGGCTTAAGTGAGGCAAATGTGAGTGCTCTTATTATTATATATATGATTGGAGGAGACTTGCGAAAGCACCTTATACTTTTAAACAAAATGTTGGTATTATTGTGGTTTTAGTTAAATCATATTTTAAAAGAAATGTTTAAATTTTATTCTATGAGTATATATTTATATATATTCTATGTGAAATACTATAAAATATGAATATTGTGAACATGTTTACATAAGAATGATATTTGAATAATGACATATGAAATGTTATGAGTATGTCCTATGTGATAATGATAAGTTAAGAAAGATCCGGTGAAATGAAATGAGTATATGTTTATGTGAAAAGATTCTATGCTAATATATGCTATGTGAATAAATTTATGTGAATGAAATACTATGAGAATAAGCTCTATGTGAAAATGTGATAAGAAACCTTAGCCTATGTGGAATTATTCTACGTGAATGTGATATATGTGAATAAAATACATTTGAATAATATATTAAAAATTATATGGAATAAGCCCAAAGTAATTTTATGAGAATTAGGGATATAGTTGCATGCCAAGAGTCAGGATCTATGTGGCTTTGGGACAAATATGTGACACTTCGATGCAATATATGAGCAGTGGTGACTGCATTAGTGTAAACCTCAATATACTCACATACCTTGAGTTCTCATCAATATACATTAGGCTAATAAAACAAATTAAAATTGAACAATGAGTAACGTATAAATGTTCATGAAATGTCTATTGGATTTGATATAATGTTTCAAGGAAATGAAAATCAAGTATCCAATAGTTATAAGTTAGTAATGTTGAGTATATATGTTGTAAGTATGAAGAATATTTATTTTGTACTAATGTTATTTTGAAAAAGTTACATAAATGGTTTAGTGCTTTATACTCATTATCTTACTAAGTCATAGACTTAGCGTGATTGTTTTCACACGTAGGTCTAAAGAGATTCGAGGTGCAAGCCGAGTAAGCAAAAAAAAGGGCAGCATACTGGTGAAGATTATTAGATCAGAGAGATTTGAATTGTATGTGTTTTTGTTATGGTAAATTTTGGTTGGCATGTACTATAAATGTTTAAATTGTAGATGCTATGATATGTTTTGTAAATGCATTTTCATTTTTCCAATAAAAGTCAAAATTTTCAAAGAGTTAAAAAGTTGAAAAGTTAATGTGACACCTTAGAGTTGTATCCGGGTCGGGTACGGGTTGAAGGTGTTACACGAATATTGTCATCATTGTGCCACACTGTTTCATCGTCACCATCATTTTCCTTCTTGACATTCTTGATAGTGATCTTATCAAATAAAAGACAAACTCTTTAGAAAATTCTTGCATGTGAAAATCCTATAACGGGGGGAAGGATTATATTTCATCCTTTCATTTCATCATTTTCATCATATTTCAGGAATGAGCAGCACCTAGCAAACCAAATAGTTTTTTCCTAATGCTACACAGTCTCAACTCAGCTCCCGATTTTGCAAATATAGTGATCAGCAACAAAAGCAATGACCAAACCTTCAATGGCTGATAAATACTTTGAACCATTCTACTTAGAGCATCTCCAGCTACAACACGTAATGTTGCTGCATTTGCTGAGCCTGCTCCAATTGAACCAATAGAGTGCTCGGGATCATTGCACAAACCGACCTCCATGTGAATAACTTTCTCAGAACACTTTGATCTCAGATCAGTTTACATCGAACCACAGAAAATTAGTATGTTTCAGCTTGATATACAAATAATGATGCCAAGCCAAGGGACATCAATATTAGCACCGAGAATCTTTAATCCCTTTTAAGTTCATTAGGTGATTTGTATAAGGTTTTAATACCCTCGGAAAGAAGCAAAGCATAAATTGGAGGAATTACTCCATTCAGATAGAAGCTATAGATCCGAATAGAAGCACCGGGATCTCTTACTTGTCGAGAGATGCATGCTGATGCGCTCAAAGAAAGAGCATGGATAATACGTTTCTTTTCATATTTATGGAACTGATTCAATCTGGGAAGCCTATATCTTTCTTGTTTTTGGTTGATGCATTCAAGGATTCACACAAAAACAACTAAGACTTGCCTGTTACACTTTGGAAACTGTTCTATGCTCATAAGGTCCAAATAAACAGCATGGAATTATACACACTAACAGGAAAAACAAGTGATACGACATGGGAAATCGAGGAAATGTACAATCAGAACAGGAAAAACGGAAAAAGGGCAGTAATTCCATGTGCAGCCTTCAGGATGTATAACCGCTAGAATCAAGTAATTGGCTTAATGTTATTTTGTGAAAAGGCTCCAATAAGGGTGGATCCTGAGTTGAGAGCTCCTGAGAAACTTGTAGCATACTTGGTCGAGATTGTGCAGTGACACGTAAGCATCGAGATGCTAGTTTTACAATGGACACCACTTTGGATGCTGTTTGTCTCCTCGGAGATGGAAGACGCTCGTCTAACAGATCTTTCAGTAGTAAATGAATGAAGGTTTCTTCTGATGATGTGCATGATGGTGAGAAGGAAGAAAATGATGATGAAGAAAAGATATCAGATCCCCAGGACGTCTTCCCATAAGTGTTTCCAATGCCACCACTCCGAAGCTAAATACATCGCATTTTTCGTTGATTTTCATTGTATAAGCAAGCTCTACAAAACAATAAGCAATCTCAAGTGCATGATTACTTCAGCTTGTGTTCAACAATTTACTTTATCTAAATTCAGAACAATTATAGCATAAAAAATGAAAAAGATAGGAAGAATTAAAGAAACATACCTGGCGCCGAGTAACCAGAAGTGCCTTCGAATGACGTCCAATTGGATGAGTCGAGCTTTAGAAGCCTGGCTGCGCCAAAGTCTGCAACATGAGCCTCATAGTCTGAATCAAGCAGAATATTCTTGCTCGAAATATCACGATGAACTATAGGGGGAGCAGTCATGGTGCATATAGGACACAGCATTAGCCACGCCTTTAACAACGTTTACTCTCTTAATCCAATCCAACTCCACTGCTTGTTCATCGGTCTTTAGCAACTTCTCCAGGCTTCCTCCTTCCAAGAACTCGTATACCAAAAGCGAGTGTCGGGGATGTGAACAGAAACCGTGAAGTTTCAGAATATTGCGATGGCGTATTTCAGTCAAAGCTTGAATCTCACTGCAAAAAGCCTTTTGATCCGCCACCCCATCTTCCGGAACTGGATGAAGTTTCTTCACAGCAACCACTTGACCATTAGACAATTGTTTCTTGTAAACGCTTCCATATCTTCCGACTCTGATGCAGTATTTGGAGTCGAATTCTTCAGTTGCTTCAACAATGTTCTTGTACACCATTTTCCCATCAAAGTTGCAAATTGCAAACAGATTATCACTTACTACTATCCGTGGCATGTTATTGGTGTTCGTTTCTCTTCGTTGTGAAAAAGAAAGAATCCCAAAGATAACAAATGCAAGTAGCAGTGTGCATGAAATCGGGACTAGAGTTGCAATCACAATTTTGCTGTTTTTCTTCTGATCAGCATCATGGTTTAAATTTGAGGAACATGGTTCCAGACCAGTGGTATTTCCGCACAAGCCTTCGTTGTTCCTCAAAGCCTCCAATGAAGCCTCTTGAAAGGCCTTGTTGTGTGGAAGAGGACCCTGCAAATGATTTTCAGATATATCAACTGATGTTAGACTTACCATATCATCCAAAGTCGACGGAATAACACCGGTGAGCTTATTCCGAGAGAGGTTCAGCTTTTCCAGAGATTTCAAGTTCCCGACTTGCTCCGGTATTTTATCGATCAGCAAATTCTGGCTGAGATCAAGAACTTGAAGGAAAGACAAGTTGCCAACCTCAGAAGGAATGGCTCCACTCAATCTATTGACACTCAGATTTAGTTCCAAGAGTGTCTTGCACTTCCACAACCATCGTGGAATGGAGCCATTTAAGTTGTTTGAACCAAGTTAAGACGAGCAAGACCGGACAACATTTCGATTTCCGGGGGAATACTGCCTGAAAGATGATTATAGTTCAGGTTAAGGTCGAACAAGAATTTCAGCTCTCTTAGTTCCTTTGGAATGCCCCCAGTTAGATGATTTAAAGAAAGGTCACACACTTGTACCTGAGTTGCTTTTCCAAGTTCCGAGGGTATCGCACCGGAGATATTATTGTTCGAGAGCTTTAGGCTTGTTAGATTGTGGCACTGACCACATTTTGGTGATAGCTCACCAATCAATTTATTATAACTCAGATCAAAATAGTCCAAGTTTGGGTATACGCCTAAATCTCCGATACATTACCCGTAAGTGTGTTCAAGCCGAACTCTACGTAAACTTGTACAGTTCTTCAAGGGGATTGGACCTGTCAAATAGTTGTTAAGTGCAGCAAAAATTTCAAGTGCTCCGCCAAGATACACCTGCTGTGGTAAATGTCCTATCAAGTAGTTTTCACTGAGATCATATACTTTCAAACTTGAAAGATTGTTCATCTCTGTTGGAATGAAACCACTAAGGCTGTTGGTGAACAGCTTCAGGTTAACAAGGGAACCCAACATTCCAGCTTCTTTCGGTATGGACCCGGAAATATTATTATAAAAGAGGCCAAGATAATGCAAACTGGTTTAGTTTCCGATAGAGCGAGTAAGAGAACCAACCAGATTATTTTCGGATAAGTCGAGCTCATTCAGGGACTTCAACATTCCAATTTGTTGAGGTATAGAACCAGAAAGCTTGTTTTGGAATAAGTAGAGAAAGAGTAAGTTTGTCAAGTTTCCTATAGAACCAGGAATTTCACCAATAAGACTATTATTAGACAAATCAAACCGTTTAAGGGCACTCAACATTCCAATTTCTTTTGGTATGGACCCCGAAATTTTATTGCTACGAAGGATAAGATAAGATAAGTTACTTAGGTTTCCAATAGATGGAGGGAGAGAACCAGTCAGATTATTTTCAAGGAGTTGGAGTTCATTCAGGGACTTCAACATTCCAATTTGTTGAGGTATGGTACCAGAGAGTTTGTTTACGCCAAAGTATAGAAAGAGCAGATTTGTCAAGTTTCCTATAGTTGCAGGAATTTCACCAGAAAGACAATTGGAAGTCAAGTCAAGGTATCTTAATCTGGATAGAGTACCAACATCTGATGGTATGGTTCCACTGAGATAATTACAGCTTGGATCAAGAACAAGTTTGGGGAAAGAAGAGAAGCTGAAGCCAAGAAGTGTACCTCTCAAACTGGAACTCGAAAGGTTTAAATGGCTCACACTTGTGGACTCGTCGCAAATGATCCCGGTCCAGTTACAGGGGTCGTTTCCATCCCAAGAAGGGAGGAAAGACTGAGTTTTCTTATCGAGACTGGCCTTCCATTTTAGAAGAGAACCGGCTTCCTTCTGTGGTGATGATGGCTCATCTCTGAAAGTGGCAGAAACAGAACCAAAGACATGGAAAGAAGAGAGCAGCAGCAGGGTGAAGAAGACACTGAATGATAAAGATGTCAAGTTGTTGATAAAAGATGCCATAGCTTAAAATTATAAGAGCAAGTACTGGTTACACTCAAGTTTAGAGGGAAACTAGTTGGTGGGAATATGAATATATGATTAGGAATAAAGAATATCACAATTATTGCCTACCTTTTCCATTCAGTTATCTCCTCATCTCATGGGACAGTGGAAGTGAATCACCAATCATGATTAAAAAAGGAACCCAATCACTAACCTACTCGTTACATCTGTCCTGCCATGCTTTTCGTGGACAAGCGTGTTAACTAACCTTTTTCACTTTTTTTAGAGATGTAATCTTTCTGTAATTTACCTAGTAGATATGGGCTATGTCTTAAAATCGGACTGGATCGGCCGGTTCAATCGAGAACCGTTATTTAGTCTGGTTCAATCTAAACCGGTTGAATCGTTATTAGTGAACCGGCCAGAACCGCTGAACCGTTCGAACCAGATCGGTTGAAAATCGGAAAAAACCGGGAAAAATCGGGATTTTTGTTTGTTTTTTTTTTAAATAATTAAACCAAAAAACGTCGTTTGTTAAACGAGCCAAGTCGAACTCGAGTATTGCTAAGCTCGACTCGAACTTGAAAACTTTAAAAGTAAGCTCAACTCAACTCAAACTCACAAGCTAAAAATTATCAAGTTCAACTCAAACTCGAAATATAATATTGAAACTTGAACTCAAAAAGACTTGAACTCAAAAAAAAAATTAGAAGCTCGATTGAAGCCTAAAATTCGAGCTTGATTGAAGTGAAAGAATAGTTCACTCAATGCTCACTAAAATGTTCCATGATTTTGAATGTGAAATTACCTCTATTATTTATAGAAGTTAGTTGTGATGCGCTTCTATGTTTCTTAGCAATGTGAGATTGTTTTGTTATCATATTTTTACTCTTTAGACTTTTGGGATGCTCTTCTATGTTTCTTAGCCATGTGAGATTGTTTTAAAAAAAATTAAACCAAACAATATCATTTTGTTATTATTTTTTTAACCCCAAATTTATTTTTTAATTATATAGTTATATAATTATATTTATTATTTAATATGTTTTACCTTAAATATTATGTTGTAGTTAATTTGAATCATTTTGTTTCTGTAACACACGTAACTCGTATATTTATACCTATACAGATTACGGATGTCACCCGTATTTTCTAAAACCATTTTACGATTCGAAAGCAATTTAAAATTTATTTTCTTAAAATAGTAAATGATATTATAAAATTATAATATCATAAAAATTACGTTTCGTTGTAACCAATTTAATTCAAAATATTTTTAATTATGAATAGTGAATAGTACCCGAATAGTGAACAGTGAACAGTGAACAGTGGGGGAATCGATTCCCTGTAGCAGGGGAATCGGTACCCTTTTTCATACTGGAAATTTTGGTTTAAAACGGGGTTGGTTACTGTTCATGCTACAGTAACTTACGAAAATTTACATATAAAACTCATAAAAATTAACCTTTCATCACTATAAAAATTCCTAAAAATTTACTCAATAATTAAATTAAACATTTCCAAATTACATGACACTATCTAAAATCAAATTTCACAATAGGATGTCTTACTGATATTGAAATATACCTCTCGATGCTTGATGTCGTTCTGAACTCTTTATTCTTATTCTTTGCTTTTTACCTACGCGTGAAAATCATCACACGCTAAGTATAAACTTAGTGAGGCAATTAAAACAATATATAGTGCAATACAATTCATGCATGAATTTAGATTTCAAATCCAATGCCATAAAACCATGCTAATAGCATCTTCAATATTTTACCATAATCAATATAATATAAATTTCTTACCTTTTATCCCATAAGCTCATAAGCTTATTTTTACCAAAATACTTACCATTTAAAATTCCATAAGCTCGTAAGCTTATTTTTTTTTCCAATATACTTGCCATTATTCTGTAAGCTCATAAGCTTATTTGCATGGTTACTATTATTAACCAATAAACCATAGACAATAGCCCAATATAACACCCTAAGGACCCTGGGTATACGAGTAAAATACCTGCACCGTACTGCTAAACCTGCACTAAGCTTACGCCATAGTGCTAATCCGGACAATACACATAAGGTCGTGCCCACCACCTACACTAAGCTTACGCTATAGTGCTAATCCAGATATAAACCTGCATTTAGTGTCCTTACACACTATAGTGTTAATATAAACCTGCAGCTGCTATACTCTATGACATGCCAACTATACCCTGTCCCTCAATGACTTACTTGGGCATATAGTCTATTTTATTCGATCCATCTATGGCAAAGTATATTATCAAATTTAACATTGGGCAGTTCATACCCGAAAACATTCATGGTAAAATATCACATTTTGTTTTCATGATCAATGCATTTTAATTTCATCCTCTGATATCTCAATGTCAATTTATAAAAAATGATATAAAATCATGTCGATATAAACAAGGTCGACTTATCGTAAGTCTTCCTTATGATGTATAAAACATCCATGTATAATTTCATGCATGTATTGCACTCACCTTGACACTTTATGTCTTTCAAAATATATAAGCCTCACTATTGTTCACCATAAGCCCTTTTATATTTGATTTGCTTCGATTACAAATCAATCACAATCTGTATAAATCATCAATTCATAATAATCCATATGTTAGTATTTTACTAACATAAATACATTCCACCATATCTCCATACTATATTTGAAATTCATCATCTATCAAAATATTTAACTCTTAATTATTCCTTATAACATTGGAACCAACTTTTCCCATTTACTCAAAATGGTCTTCACCATTTTACCACTTAAATTCTTAATACCAATAATTCCAACATTGAAATTATTTCCATTCAAATGCTTTTACAAAAGCATTAATACATTTACGTATCCCAACTATGCAATTGTTGTACTTAAATCACCAATCATTTCAATCTTCCCAAAATAATCAATTTCACATTTAACACTCATTTCAATTCTCAAACAACAATTCCAGCATAGTACATCAATTATATAACACTTACACAATAACCCATCAATTTTCCAGAATTCAGACAACTCGTACTACCTTTAAAGAATCATTAAACTGTATTGATACACACACTGGATTTTAATTCCGTTTTTTCCATTGAAAACTAGACTCGAATACGAATCTATCCATATAAATAAATCATTCTAATTCATTCTGTACAATTTATGGTGAATTTTCAAAGTTCACCAACAGAATCTGTTTTGTTACAGAATTCTGCTGTCCGACTTTTCTGACCTTTCCTCAGTTAACAATTCATATCTATTTGTATACAATTTGAAATTGATCCCCGTTTATTTTAAACGAAACTAGATCCATATATGAACACAATATATAAAAATAACCTCCAAATTATTTTTATATATTTTCTAGTGAATTTTCGAACTTACTGTAATTCCCAAAATCTACATTGTTTTTCTTTAACCTCGTCCTTGTGTTCTTCATCAATTCTTACAACCTCAAAATCATCAATAATCATCATCAAGTTAACAACCATAGTATAAAACCAAATTTCTAGATTTGGGGATATTTGAATCAAGCAAGATTATCATGCAATATTGATATCAAATGATAGCGTTTTTCGCAAATAACCATTTTCTATTTTCATCATACTCATAATCCTAAAGAAATTGCTTGAAACATGAGTTGAAGATCTCTTACCTTTGAAGAAACCCACGCAGCTTTTGGAGGAGAAGATGAACACATTTGGTTGAAATGTCATCTTAATTTACATTTCATTCCACTTTAAATGAATATATTATTCATTTAATTGTGATAAGACCAAAACACCCTTAATGAATCTCCAAAATCACCATAAACCCAAGCCATCTGATATTACAAAGTCAAATATAATTTAATTTGACTTTGACCTACGAAAATGCCCTGAAATTTTCAAAACTTGCGTTTTAGTCACTAAATTTCACAGTTTCGGTTAAATCTGGAAATTTGCACATTTCCAGACCAAATTTCTCTGATATAAAATATTAAAATAATATTTCCAACCATTTTATAACATCCTTCAAATTTTTGTAAAATTCCAATTCGATCGGAATTTACCGATTTCTTACCGGCTTTAACTCTTTCTTTACTAAATTCCAAATCCAACAATATGATTTCTATAAAACTCTACTCCCAAGAGTAAACCATCTATTTATAAAATAAAATTCTTTTTAGGAAATTATCACTTAATTCCCTAAACTTTTTCCCAAATTTTATACTTTGGCCATCAAACTTCCAAAATTTACATTTTGGTCATTATCTAAATTTTTGGGGTATTACAATTCTCTCCTCCTTAAGAAAATTCGTCCTCGAATTTTAAACTTTCTA